GTACAAAGTTTTATTTAAGTATTTTGGCATATTAAAAAAGTAAATCAGAGCTCAAAAAGTGCAAAAACATAGGCAAATTTGCCTGCATTTTACTACAATTTAGGGGATACCTAATATAGAGTGAGGTTTGGTAAAGCTATGATTTTTGAAAAAATTGTTAGTTATAAATTATAAATGTACAAATGCGAAATACGTAACACCATCTGTAAGTGCACTTTTTTTTTTCTAAACATTCTTTTATTGTAATTTCTATTTTTCCACCTACAGATACCTAGTAATTTGAATAATTAATTGGTTACATATTTTTATTAATAGATTATTTTATAATGTTTAGTTACTTAAAAATTTTAGATTTACTATATAAAATCAACCCTCATTTTAAAATAATACACATGGCATATCTGAAATAATGCACTAGTAAGTATTATTATATTAGTAAAATATGAAAAATAATATAGATTCGGTTCTTTTAGTACTTAAGGTTGGCTAGATTTAAGAATCCAGTACTTTTAAAGTTGGTTAGGATTAGAGATCTGGTGCTTTTAAGGTTGGTTAGTGTTAAGGATTTGGTGTTTGATTGAATTAATTGTAAGTTTCGTATTTCATATCACATTAATAGAGCCCATTCACTTTATAGTTTTTGCTATTGTTGTTTAGATGCTTTTATAAGTATGGATTTCGTCGTTTGGGTAGTACCACCACATCGTCACTTTATTGGAGTTATTTTCGGTGATACTGTTGATATGAGTTTCATCACTTGGGCGGTTTCCTTTATTGAAGTCTTTTTGTTGCTCCAGGTTTTGTCGCTTTTGGTGCTCTTGTAGCTATAGATTTTCTGCTTGTGGTGATTTAGTTTGGGATGTGAAGTTTGCTACTTGTAGATTAAATATGGATTTTATTGTTTGTGCCATTGTTATAATTTTGTCATTTTTTAACGATACACTTTGCAAAAACTTTATACTAGTTAAACTAGTTCTTGCCTATTAATTAGTTGCTTGAAAGTACTCTTAATTTTGAGTTTCATTAAGATTAGGGAAAATTCAAATATTGTTATTGAAGTAGACTTGAAATTGAATATAAGAACATATAATGTTGAATATTGCTACCTAAATAGAATTGTAGCTGAAAAGACGAACATAAGATGTTTATTTATTATCAAATATCAACAGGAATTGATAAGTGTTTATATTCTTTATTTGTGAACCTGCTTTGCTAATTTGACAATTACTAATAAATAACCTTTATTTTCAGTGTTGAATAAAATAGTTAAGGCAAATAAATAATTCAAAGAGTATTATCAGATAATATTTTATTTTTTTTTATATGTAAAAGTTTATTTATCCTTTTGTTTACCCTTTCATTTACTCTTTTGTTCACCCTTTTGTTCACCTTTTTGTTCACCTCCTCGGTTACCTTTTTATTCATTTGTTCGTTTATTTTTATAGATTGAGTTTAGGGTTATAACTAAAAATTGGATTTATTGATTATATATTTTAAATAATAAAAATATGTAAGATAAATAAAAAATTAAAAAAACTGTATTTGAAGACTGAATATTCACTTTAATAAAGACTTTATTATTAAGTATTTTATTTTTTTTCTTTGTTATACATTTATTAAAACTTATGTCTGATAACTAAATTCATGTTCGATAACTAATTCTATTCCCAATCCATTATCTAAAGATGAGCAAGATAATAATATAAGTAAATAATAATACTTTACTACACTTGCCCATCTCTACACTATTTAACCTCCATGCTCTTATTATTCCTTATTATATCACTAACATAATACTTAAAATTAATTTCTAAATTAATTGCTATTTAACTATTTTGACCTGAACAAATTAAGTGATCAAAATTTCCAGCCCTGATTAATTAATTATTTAAGTAATTTCACAAGAATACATAACTATACTCATATCCAGTTCTCAATTGAAGCTAAATAAAAAATTTTATTGCAGCCATTCTCTATACAATAACTTATTGATACGCATTAATACTCTTTAAATAGTTTTATTGAGGTACTAATTCAAAAAAAAAAAAGTAATAATAAATCGCATTATATATTAGCATAAGTAATTTTACTATAATAGTACGTATTGAATAGATTTATTAAAACTCTTAAAGCGTATATATAAACTTACCATATTTATATCGACAAGAATCTCTTAAACGTACTGGTCATATTAAAAAAAACAATACTTTTAACATTGTTAGTATATAAAACAAATCTATTAAGAATATTACAAGTATATCTATACTTCCCATATTAATATCAACAAGAAATTCGTATGACTATATTCGAAGTATGGTACTAATTCAAAAAAAAGTAATAATGATTTGTATTATATTTGTATAAGTAATATTTCTATAATGGTATTGAATAGATTTATCAAAACTCTTAAAGCACATTTGTACTTATTATATTCATGTTGAAAATATGCTAGTTATATTTTTTTTTAAAAAAAGCAAACCCTAGAGCTAATCCTAAAATAACACTAGATTTAATATTGTTAGTATATAGAACAAATCTATTGAAAATATTACAAGCGTATCCATACTTCTCATATTAATATCAACAAGAAATTCATATGACTATATTCGAAGTATAATACTAATTCAAAAAAAAAGTAATAATAATTTGTATTATATTAGCATGAGTAATAAAGATAGCTAAATTATTAAAAATAAAATTGGCATTATTAACATAATGCCTTCTAAATTAGAGTAATAAGAACTTAAAACATACTTGTCAAGAATTCTTCATTATACAATATTTGACCTTTTGTATATATTTTTGTGAAATATAGCACTAACTTAGAAAAATATATAACAGCATCTATTTTCTTGGTGCTAATACATCTATACTTTTTTTCCTGCCTAGACGTCCAAAAGCAAAAAAAGCATCCAATCCCTATTTCAGAAAAAAAAATTCTCAACCTATCACAGATTACCTGGACTATTATATTTTTAGAGACAAAATTCATACTTCTTTTCTAGTTGATATTGATGAGACTGGTACTAGATTTTCAGCTTTTATAAAATTGACACCTCTTCAAAGTACTAAAAATAAACAATATCGAGATAAATATATTAAATAGCGTTTAACCAAAGTTAAATGCATTTTCAATTTAACCTACGGTATAGAAGATGGAATTGTAAGAAAAATATACTCCTTACACAGTTTTCTAAATAATAATGATAAGTTATCTAAAGCTTTATTTAACAGTTTGGTTGCATATAAAAAAACAAAAGAATATAAGACATACACTAATGCTGAGCATAACTATGTTGCTAGTGAGGCCCAATGGTTTTTTACTCAATCTATACCACTGTCCATAACAACCATATGGGGGTGAGTCAGTAGAAATAGAACAAATTTATTAGATAAATTTGTTCCATTTCTACTGACTCACCTCTATATAGTTCTTTGAAACCATGTTTGGCTTTGTGAAAATTACAAAAAATACAAAAGTAGAAGTGATTTTGTTTGAAAGTAATATCCAATATAAAGAAATAGCAGTCAAACTAGTAGATACTATAATAAATGATCAATATATATTTTATGGAAATAGTGAATTAGAGCTTGTAAAAAAGTGATCTGAAATAACTAATAATTCTATTTCTATTATAAATAGAGAAAGTAAAACCAATAGTGGAGAGAACCAGATACCTAAAATAAACAATAATTCTATTGTAAGTAGAGAAAGGATATTTGAAAATAATAGTAAAGAGGATCAGGTATCTGAAATAATTGAGATATTAAGTGACGAAGAGGACAAAATATCTGAAATAATTGAGATATCAAGCAATAAAGAAAACCAGGCACCTAAAAACGAACGGACACCTGAAATAATTGTACTATTAAGTATGAGATAAAGTTAATAAAGTTATTATTGATATTTTTTTGGTTTAAAAGAAAGCTTATAAAATGAAAAAAAATATAACCATTTTTTTTTTACCTTTTTCTATCTTATCGTTATCATTATCTTGTAAGGATTATATAATCAATTATAATTGGTTAATTTGTATTTAACCAATTATATTTGTCTATTTTTTTATATATATTGGGGTGCTAAAAAAAAAAAGTCTATTCTTTGAATTATTCATTACCTTAGACTAAAAAATGTATAAACCAAATTTTTTTGGTTTATTATAATATTTTATATAATAAATAGTGCTTATATAAGAGAACAAACTGAAATAGCGCATGAAAGTTGGTTTAACCTAAAGGCCAGGTTCTCTGAAGTCTCTATAACCGAATCCTCTCTTGTGAAAAGGTGTCTGAAAATGATAGTAGAGAAAACTAATTATTTCTCCAGTTCATATTTATATTTCTATACTATTTCTTGTTTATTTCTATAATTCTCTTTGATATCTTTACTTTTTTTAATTATATATAAAAATTTAAAAGTTGTTGGCTAAAAAAAAAAAAAAAAAGAAGTTTTGTGGATTAACATATATATCTGGCATAGTATTATCATTGGTCACTATATACAGTACCCAGGGTCTTATTCAAGAACTTCATTTTTAAAATTGAAAAAAATTAAATAGTACTCATGAATACTGTGTGAAGAACCAAATAATATATTTGGGGAAATATCATGTTAAAAGTAGTAAATCAATATAGTTATACTCTGAGTCAATAATATCTGGGTATTAATCATGAGTATTATTTTTGGAGGTGATCAACAGTACTAAATGCAGCATGAATAACTTTTTTCATACTTACTAGTAAGAAATAAGGATATTACGTGAATATATGGGTTTTTTGCCATTGCTATAAAAATGGAATTAGGACTGATTAGAATAAAGATGAGACATAGAGATAGATAATGCTAATAAAATAAATAATACTAGATTATTTACTTTATTCGATAGAGGTGTAGTTTTTATAATTCTATCAGAATCCATATATTAATTGATTATTAAAGTATTACTGATTTTTTAACAATTTTGTCAACTTAAAATATGGGAATTTATATATAGTATAAGAGCCCAAATTTTGAAAAATTTTACAATTAAGGGCCAAAATAGCTTTGCATTATAATGATAGTGGTTTTTCGATTGCTATAAATACTGTATTTATTAATACATTTTTACTTTATCTTTTATATAATGAACTTTCTTTTAACCAAGAAACAAATTGACTAGGTAAATCACGTTATATATTGTTGTAATATTTATTCTGTTTTAAACTAATATGTTTATATACCGCTATATCAAGCTAATGATTCAATATTTTGTGAAAGTTATTATGCATTAATCGTAGATATTTAGAATTGAATATGCTCATTTTTATTGATATTTTATTGGTAAAGAAAGTTAAAAATCAGCAAAGGTGGCTATAATTTTTATATAAAAGGTGCCAAGAGAATAAATGCAATACTAATTAATACATTTAAATATTAAAGAACAATTTTTCACTTTGGGCCATTATCTCCTAAAAATATTTAGTGAAAAAATTTAAAATAACAAATATTAACCTTTGATCTTTTACATATATACTGTTATAGAACGAATTTATTATTAGTTTATTATTTTATTATTTATTAATTATCTTAGAATAATATTATTATCTTGTATTATTATTAACATGTCGCTTAGTCGCTTAATCGCTTAGTCGCTTAGTCGCTTAGTCGCTC